AGATCGCAATGCAACTCAGCCACGTTTACAGCCAGTATGCAAAACCACATGTGTTTAAATGACATTGCGAAGAAAGCCTGTTGGTAATAAAATTGATAATGTTTCCAACGGTATATTATACATGTATTTTCACTTGCATGAAATTAAAATGAATTGTTGCCACTAATTGATATATGCCACTCGTGTTAATTGATACGAATTCAATTTTATGCTGATTTTATTATCATTTTATAATGTTTCACTTTAATGTTAAGAAAATATTTGATAACTTGGAATATGATGCCATTTGTTTTGGAAAAGTTGTTCCGGTTAGGTGGTTTCCTGCTTACATTTGTTAGTGCATGATTGAACGGGAAACCAGTCTATGTTTCCGCTGGAATCGTGTCAATCGCAATTTTTCGGCCCTTTTCGTCACTCTTCGGATAAATGATAATAGCCGAGGCAGTTCCGATTGCAATCGTGACAGTTCGGGCGATTCCGTCATACCGCGGAATCAGACGAAGTAATATTACGAAAATCTAAGCTATTCTAGTTACTTCGGTAATCACAGTTTGTTTATATAATTAGGATTTCTATTTTTACTTCAAGCGTAAGTAGAAGGAAGAAAAAAATTATAAACGAAATTGTTCCGTTTCAATTCTTTTTCAAGACGCAAAGTTACTCACGGATTTATAAATCCGTGAGTTACTGTAGTAGTATTCCGTCTCCAAAGGGCGGTCCTGCTTACCAAAAGATCGTGACTGAATCACACAGAATATTAGTGCATGATCGAGTTATTGGCGTCCGCGCCAAAGCGCGGCGCCCTTATGGAATGAAATCAGATTTTGTGAATGGGCGACAGCAACTTCTCGAGCCTTTTAGTCGGTCATAATAAAAGCCGATCATTCCGATCGGTATGAGGGTGCTTGATTATTAATTAAGAATGAATTGTCGCGATATGTTACAATGAATAGCGAACTGGAGAATTTCGCAATGCAAACATTTTCAAATGAAATAACCTTTTCCGTCAATAAATCGCGCTCTTCGGGGTTTTTTATTTATCATTTTGTAGTACACAGTGGGTTATCATGGTATGTTATTGTTGTACATGTATCCTAGAATGATCAGTTGATGACCTAAATATCCAGAAAATCTATTTATAGATATATCTATTTATCACTCCTATCGGTAATTCCCTGATCTCTCCCGGTCACTTTTTGACCGGGATTTACTAGTGACCGGCGAATAGTACCACACGTTTATTGTCCGGTCTCTCACGGTTTTGGAGTAGATGTTTGATATCGTTACAATTCGGAAAAAAAAACAATAGCATGTTTTATTTTATCTATATGAGATAAAAACAATAAATATGTACAATAATTGAGAAAAAGTAACATTTTATGGTATTAATATGACATTATCAACTTTGAAACATTTTATTTAATTTGTTATTCGTGTTTAGTAAAGATGCCGAGGAGTTATTCAAAGTTACAAATTAGATTTTATGAATTATTCAATTGATTGATAGTTTAAAAAATGATAAAGAAAAATACAAATGTACATGGTTTAAGAATAAACAATATTATTTATTGAAAGATTAACCATAATTTACTGACTTTTTTCAGTTAAATTTTGACTTGTCGGTCAATATGACAATTGAATTCTTAAAATTTATTTTACAATTTTAATAAAATAAAAAAGAGTAGTTAACATAAAACTCAGTATTAAAATAGCACATAAAACACAAAAAAGAAAAGAAAACAATATTCATAAAATTTGTATTTTTTTATCAAAATTAATAGATATTACAATTATTGTATAATATACAATTATGCTCAACATGATCAACATGGTTATGTAACCAGTGTCATATTTTTACTAAGTGTGAACAGATACCTTAAGAGGGGGTCTTCGCTTCGCTAATAGCGATAACATACTAAGGGACAATTACAAAAGTGTGATAAGTGTTGATCATGCGTTACACATATGGATTATAAATGATTGTATACATGTATATCCGTTGCTATTAATAACCACGACCATAAAGAAATAACAAGTAATATTGTAATTTCTAGCATGCCAATCAAAGTTCATAATGAACAATGTCTTTCGTCCGCTCATTCATAAGTGATATACAATTCTGGTAGTTTATAAGAATATCTTGTCATCATATATTCACTTGCTGCATTTCTTGCTTGGACGCCCTTTGATGCTTTGCATCAATGCTTTTCTTGTTAGATCTTTAAACGCAATTCTAACGTAAAGGTGAGGTAATCTAAAAATAGCCCATGCATATCATTAACCTTACCACGTGCTGATCTACAGATAGCGTATCCTGTGTTATCGGTTTATCTGTGATCATGGATATTTTAGGTGTAACATAGTTGATACATGCTTATTAATTGGTACCACGTAACGAAGTCTTTTACTAGTGCATTTACTTGTCTATAAAGCTGCTATATAAATGAAATTAGCAACTGCCAAAACGCCAAAATGACTCTCTCTGCGAAATGAAATGTGCACACTTGTTTCCCTTCAGTATGATAGATAGATCTCCACGTGGGAGAGCCAATGTTAGTATTTTTTCGATTGATTATTGTCTTTATTAGTTTTTATACAATAGAGAATAGATTTCAAATCGTTTTTGACAAAAAATATTCGCTTTTACAAAAAAAGTTGTTACTGTCATCGTCAGCGTGTGCCTGTTCAGTTAAAATCAGTGGACTTCTGGTCCTTCTTTTGTCCACATTTGCATGGATAACACTGATGCTCAAACAAATGGGCACAGGTGCTCGTCCAGTCTTGGGCTTACCCTACCTATCCCTTTAAAAATACAACTTTTTTGCGAGAAAAAAAAAACAAACAAATAACAACTAAATAAAACCTTTATGATATACAAGTATCGTAATTCAAAAAATTGTGATAATAAATTGAAACAAAAAAAATTTTTTAAAGGGATGGGATGATGGCACAACTGAGCAAGCCTTTCCTTTTAAAAGGAAACGTTATTCTTAAACTATGTTTGTATATATACATATACTGATATCAAAATAGCTCTGCCTATATATCGTAAGTAGTTTTATATGGGCTAACGTCGGATTCATACATACAATACATTGAAATATTATTCTCTCTCTTTTTTAAAAATGTTGACCAAAGACACAATAGCGTTGTTAGTAAGTCAAGTTAGCTATATATATTCAGAACTATGACATTTATTTCATTAGATAATTGAATTTCACAAAAAGGAACCACTTTTACAAATAGTTATTCCCCTTTGAGAGAATTTAAAAAAGCGCTATCATGGGCAATTCGTGGTTATTTCACTCTCTATACAACATATATTTGCTTACATGATTTTATTAGATATATGTTTTGTCTTTGTTAAAGCTGTAGATTTTGTGTTTTAAATACAGAAACTTGTGACAAACTACCAACGTACTTTAGACAAATGTAAATATTTCCATTATTAAAAAATGCAACTGTTTTTATTTTGTAAATTTTTATGTGTGTTTCAAACTGATTTTTTTTTACAAATCAATCATAAGACGGCGAAATACATGTATGTTGTCCTTAGCATTCAAATAAATTTTCATGCTTTGTCAATTTCCTTTGAAGACTGAATTGTTTTGTGTAATTATTTTAACATATTAACTCCTTTGATGCTCATATAAAATTACTTTTTTATTTCCTTATTTCGTAATGACTACGTTGAGCGTAAAAATCGCCAAAACGCACAGATACTATGTTGAGACTATCATGCTATAGTCTGACCTTTTAACTTTGTTATTCTGTTTCTGATTCGTGATGAAATGGTAACATTCTATGTGCCCTTCTTTAATGACAATTCTGTATCACTTTAACATTTTGAACATTTGACTGAATATCGATATTATTTAAAGGTAAAGTGCATTTTGTCTTGGATTCTATGTATTGGAAAAAGGCCATAAACATCAGTTGCAGTTTTCCAAATAATGGACGCATAGATATGTTCTTTTAACTTTAAAAACCTTTGTTCAATGAGAGAAAGTAAAGCAAGAGAGAATAAAATGATCCACAGGAATTTGATAGGTTTGACAAGAAGAATAAGTTCGCAATCGGACAAGATAACTAACTCTTTGACAATAACCATATTGTGCTATTAAATATTTAGCGCTCTTTTTTTGAACAAGCATGAGCATGTTATTGCTACAGCTTCACTCAACAAACTGAAATGATGATTATTATTTTCATTTATAACGAATGGGGTTTTCCATTTGAATAATAATGACATCAATAATTATGTATTTAATCTTACGTTCATATTTTACCAGTATTTCTATGAAACACTTTTAAGATCCTGACACAAATTTACAAACAAACTGTACTATTATATGTAAGCAACGAGATTAATGATCTTTAGAAATATTAGGCTCCTGTTAGTTATTCAAGCTTTACTCCAGGAAAAAACCCTGCATCTCCGCCTGGGAATTCTTGTATATAACATTAATAATTATGACAAAAAAACAGCAATTTACATTCAATTTGGAAAAATATAACAATTCTGTTTAATAAGATATAAATGACTATCGGATATCAACCAGAAGATGTATACTCATGCCCGTGGTAGGAACAAAATTGTTTTATGATTAATGTCCAATATTGAACCAGGATAAAGTACTGGATCAAACCTCGAAAGATTTCTCCGATTTACCTGATGTTTTTTTTTAAGTCGGAATGTTCTTTTGAAAGGTATATAAAAACAGACCCTAATTGGGTATTGATAATCTGTGTACAATGAATAAACAAAGGACTTAAGGGTTTAAAAACGATTAAAGATCGGAAATCTGTCAATAAACGTCTTTTTTATTTATCTTACTCGAGCGGAGGACGATTATTAAATCGTGTGCTGCATCCGACAAATCGATTGGGTGTGCATCAAACTTCAAGCATTTCTTCTGTTTATTTCTGATAATTCTAAAATAACCTTTTCATCTAGTCAACACTATCAGAATTCGAGATATTTACAGCATTGAAGAACGTTAAGAAAAAATATTGTAGCTAGTATTTATTCAAATTTAACTATATACATACAATATAAAAGCATTTTTTAAAGATATATCATGATATTTCTAACCAACTATTGTCGTACCAGTGTCCCTGAAATAAAACAATCATATTTTTCAATTTGAACACTAGAAACAATTGTCAATATGTGTTTATTCTTTACATCTGAAAGGTATTAACATAGCAAAGAATAAGCTTTAAATGGTTTTGAACTGTTTGGGTTTATTCCTCAATGTATTTTTACATGAAAAATACTAAAAACAATTAGATGATTGAAAAGACTTTATCATCGAGATTTCCTGTCTTACTTAAAACTTATTTTACTTACGCAATTCATAAAGTTATCTGAGTTTGTTATCTTTAGAGTTGGCTATATAAGAAACTTTATACTGTAAGTTATACTCACTTTTTCTCACATACGTATTGCAGCACATCCCAATTACAATACTCGTCACTCCAACTATAATCAAAATATTTCATTGAAGCTAAACAGAGCTCTCTGTTTTCTCTGTTGTTTGGTTGTTGAGGTGGAGAACCCCATGGTGCGTATGTCAATGGCTTATTTGTTGGTTCCCATATCCAATTTCCATCATTGTTGAAGTTGGCACCACCTATCCAGAAACCCGTGTCACCGTCTGTGTCTAAATACAGACAAAATATGGATTTTTATGACTTGAAAAACAAACTAAAATATGTTAAAATTATATAATTTACTTTATATACCCTGAAGTTTCCTTCTAGATAGTGTACAAGTTTTCAAAAGGAATTTTGATCATTAAAGAATGTGTTCTCTTTTAGTTTCTCTTTAAGTGTATTATTTTAATGAATATTAGATGGTCAGAATCATTAATCATTACACGTTTAAAGGGAGACACAGGCAAAATGGTCATTCCTTAGTTTTGAACTTTTTCATTCCTAATTTTGTAAATGCCCTAAAAATGAATATATTAGACAGTCAAAGGAACAAAACTTTTCTCAATATAAAGAATAAAATGGTGGTTTCCTAACCTGACCCGCGTGGGTCAGGTTAGAGCGCTAGGTTTTCACAAAAGTTGTCACAGTGAACTCTGGAAACGTTAAAGAACATGTCAAATGAGTGATATTGACTTGTTTTAATCATACAAGATCCACAGTATCTGTTAATGTACCTTCAAGGATTTGTTCAAGTCACCTGACTTGTTTTAAAACTATTCGGTGATTCTATTGGCGTCTAAATTTTGTTCAACATATATAGATATATCTATGTTTCAAATCCAAAATATATAGAATTTAAAGGGAAATTCATCCTGAAACATTTGGAAATGTCATTTTAGCGCAAGTTGAGTACAAAAGATCATTTTAATATTTTTGTCATTATTTTGCCTGAATATCGATTAGCTTACTTGAACTTAAGATTCATTTCGAAGATTAACAACTTACGATTAAATGTTAATGCTTCTTTACGAAACCATGTTTGTTCCTCGGCTGTTTCTATGACAACAAGATCACTTTTATGCCACAAACACATTTGCTAAAATACAAAACAATATACTGATGCATAGTTTTATGAACAGTGTGTCTTGAATCTACAATCTATATTATGAAAATTTGACAGAATATGGTTTGACACAAAATATGAACCTTTAATCCATGACGTTATGATTAAGTTGTTGTTTGTTTGTGTTTTTTTTTGTTTTTGTTTTTTTTGTTTTTTGTTTTTTTTTCAGTATAATTATCAAAAACGTACAGCGATCAACATTGCCTTCACAATCACGTCATTTATAGATATGTGATTAACTGTTGCTAAAGATGTTGTTATAGAAATTTGAGTTTGTTTTCGATTATGACTGGCTTAATAAAATAATGCTACTACGTATACTATTTAAAAGCGTCACATAGATTGTGATTATTTATAGAATTTAAACCTTAAATCAAGTAAATCTACCTGGAAGGAAAACACCTTAAATCAATGGAAGGAAAACACCTTAAATTTGCTCAACGTGTAATCCTCGCCAGCGCATGATATTCTTTGTTTCTAACAGGATACAACAATGTGTCAAAATGGTTTATATATTATAACAGTTATTTTCCTATCATTATTTGTTTTACTTTTACTAAACAATTTCTTAGTATTTGACAAAAGATGAAATCGTATTTTACCCTTGATTCAGGCCATGTTTGCTTTTCTGTCGTAAATCTGTAACAATTACCACCATGACTTCGCCAGCCACTTTCACATGCACTATACGCTGTGGATGAAAATTGTATAATCTTATACACACACTCTCAAACTGCCACTATATAATTTATTTCTTTATTCGTTGATAATTTACAATTATAATTAACCTTTCAAGCGAAAATTCATGCAATGACTAACAAAACATAAATATATAAAGAAACTTACCCGTAGCCAGAAGAGCTGCGACAAAGACAATCAAGTTCTGTAGTTTCAACATGTTGAAGTTATAATAACGTTTCATGTTCATCTAACAGTGTATTTATACAGATAGCATGTACTGAACTGTGTTCTGAATTATAGCTGTTGATAAGTTACCTTCTATAAATAGGGAATAGACAAAACAAATGTACTTCGTGTGTCAGATAACCTTGAAGAAGATAAATTAAAAGTACCATTACGCACACTGTAATTCATTTAAAATGTCTTAAATCAGCAAAATAAAGATAGTTGGTTGTTTAAGTTCAATAATGTTAAGGTCGTAGACACTTTGAAATTATACCCAAGATACCCGAATAAGTGGCATGCTCTTGCATATGTCGTATACCGTACGTTGTAAAGCTTATCCGTTTATGATATGCGGCATCCTAGTTATGCCTTTCCTGAATTCAAATTATGTATTGATTTTCGATTACCGATTCAATATCGTTTTCAATAATAGGAAATATTGTAGGAAATATGGGAAAATTTTCGCATATTTCATATTCAAGTTACAAATGTATGTGACTGTTGTTTACTGATAGATAACAACTAAACCTGTTCTATCTCCTTTTTTTATTTATATGTACCAAATTTATCATTACTGTTAAACATAAATATTTTCTTGTATGTAACTCACGTTGAAATTTATATTTGTTCATATGGATAAAATCTTCAATTTTCCGTAAAGAATTAAAAACGCTAATTTGAATTTGCCGTAGATTTCGGCCTTTCGGCCTATTTCAGCAATATTTATTAGTTTGAATTTGCCGTAGCCTTTATCAGCAGATTTTAATACAAAATTAGTAAAGTCGTGCTTTCGAGTTTGAAAATGAAATAATGTGTGTTATTCATTTTATTCACTAAGAACATATTTTTTGCTTCATAATAAAATGAATACATGTATTTGCTAAAAAAGAATTAAGTTTAAAAGATTATATATAACTGCATTCTACGCTTTCTTTAATCATTCATATTTCAATTTAGATCATTTGCTTCGTTCGAATTCAATTTGCTGTCTGATTTACATGTAAATTTCTCAGTTGGTTTGGTGCCGAATCTTATTCGATTTACAACGGATTCGACAAGGGTTTCTTACAAGCTTATTCTGTTGGCTTATTCAAATCAACAAAAAATCGGAAGAGGACAAATGGCCTTAAATATTCCTTTCTTTATACTTCCGGGGAATGTCGTCCTTCTTGGTGATCTTTGTTTTTGTATGTCCTAATCGCTTTATTTAAATTAATGTCGCCCGCACTTCGATACAATAACTACTATGTTGATTCTTTACATTCATCATTTGGCAAAGACATGTGATTATTTTGCACCTTTTTTCTGAAAATGACATTACGTTTTGAAGAAGACCATGCCAGATATCTTCCTACCAAATATGAAAGACATCAATTCTGTTTATAAATAAAAGTTATATTGGAAAAAGTTTTTAAAAATCTATTTTTAGCACCAATGACCTTGATCCAACTGACCCCTAACTCAGCCCAAGGACAGAAGACCATGCAACTTATCATTTTAAATATGGAAAACATCAGGGAAAGAATAAATTTTGTATAAGCAAATGTGTAGAAATCTACTAGTGACACACTTGACCTTGACAAAAGTGTAAAAGTCTATTTTTAGCACAGGTGACCTTGATTCGACTGACCCCTTACTCCATCTAAAGAAAGAAGATTCCTCAATTTTATGTACCTACCAAATATGAAAGATATCAGTCAATAGAATAAGGTTACGCCTGTAAAAATGTAAAGAACTATTTTTTAACATTTGTGACCTTGGACCAAATGACCCTGATTGAACCCAAAGGAACGGGACCTCCCTTGGTAAATCCGTTTAAAACACAAAAGACATCAATTTGAAATAAAGGCTGTATGAACATTGTTGTCTTAATTTTTGCTTTTTACAATAACCTTGACCTTAACCCCCGTGACACCTCACTTCACAAAAAGTTAGAGTACCATAAAAGGTATCAATCTACCAAATACAGAAGATTGCATTAACTAAATGAAGATATTAAGAGAAATTTATGATAAATCAAACTTGCCGGAATAGGTTAACCATGTGAAGCCTTATTTTCAATGTGATAAAAAAGGGGAATAAATGGGGAAAATGAATGACACAGTATATATTGGCAATATCATGTGCATTGTATTGATCAGTAAGTGTGAAAAGTAGAATATAAGTTAACATCCGTCACCCTAACACCACAGAAAACACTTTATACATGTATAATTAAACTGAATGTTTCCTTTGGGAATAATATACCAATTCGTGAAATGAGATATTGATGCTTAAGAAATATATAATCACTCAGCATCTTTAGGCACATATCCAAATAAAAAGTTAATGAGAAGTATTTTACATCCTTACATGCCTGAAGATTTTGGGGAAAATGTAGAAACATGTGTTCAAAATAATCAACTTGAATATAAAATCAATTCATTAAGTGCATTTTGTGGTACAATACTTTAAGTTATCTTAAAATAACCTGTATTCTTGTAGATCGTTTTGAACACGTAATGTTACATATTTGAGTGTCTAACTTTTCAATCTGCTATAAACGATAGATAACAGTGTAGATGTACAAAATTCAGAACAATTTTCAGTTCAAACTAATTGTATAAAAAGGCAATGAGCATTGTAAGGAACATCATAATTTCAACATGTGGAAAATACTGTCGATAATCGTTGTCTCAGCTCTTCTAGCTACCGGTAAGTTATTTTTTTTCTAAACAAGGTCACTTATATTACATATTCTAGGAGTTTATCAGACTAGCAAAGAATCCGAAATTTAAAGGTGAAAGTTACGATTAAAATATGACAAGTAAGAAGGATTAACGCGGTAAAGAAAACTGTTAATTGTCATAAATAATAGGTATTATACTTTCATATCCGTAATACACTCTATGATCTCCATGAAAAATAGGTAGGCTTCTGTAGTTGCAAATAAATAAATAAATAAATAAATAAAAGTAAATTAAAAAAGAAAATAATAATAATAATAAAGATAAATAAATAAATTGGCTTCCATTTTTTAAGTAATTATTTTCAGTAACTTAGATAAATGTGTTCGGTTCATCTATATCGGTGCCAATAATCAACTTGTAGGTCATTTTACAGTTTACTTTGAAATTTCGTTAAGCGTGTATATTAATCAGATGTTATTGTTTCAAATTAATTTTATTTCTACAGTGTATAGTGCATGTGAAAGTAACTGGCGAAGTCATGGTGGTAATTGTTACAGATTTACGACAGAAAAGCAAACATGGGTTGCATCAAGAGTAAATATCAGTTTTATTTTGTTTTTAATAGGAAAAATGTTTGTAATATTAATATAAAATGTTTATGAGAATAGAGAAGTCAACTCCATTAAAAACTTGTAACTGTATGACTTTTTATAACAACAACAACAAAAAAACACTGTTTCGATTAAAATAGACTACATGTAAATATATACGATTAGGCATTAGTATATTGTTTTTCATTTTAGCAAATGTGTCAATGGCATAAAAGCGATCTTGTTGTCATAGAAACGGCCGAGGAACAAACATGGTTTCGTAAACAAGCATTAACATTTAATCGTTAGTAAATTAATGTTTAATTGAACCTTAGATTTAATAAATGATCAAAGAAATGATCCAATAAATGATCCAAAAAAAGGATCCAATAAATGAAAAAGTATATTACTTATAACCATTTATAATTGAGTCAATAGGGCCATCTTTCTTTCTCAAATTCATATGTATTCAAGGACTCATAATTGCAAAATATAACCTTTTATTCCAATTCTGAAATTTTAAAATTCTTCTTAGCAAAAAATTAAATATTCTTTTAAACATATTCTTTTTTTATATAAACATCAATGAAATAATATACCTTTTTAAAGATAAAAGTAACATAAAAACCTTTTCACAGGAAATGAAACTTTCATCTTAAATGTCATAGTTTCTTGTTATTCAAGTTTGAAAAAGTTGGACAGAATATTTTTTATATACTATGATAACATAAATTTTACTATTGATTTTATTGAAAGTGATAAAACATCCATATTGTGTCTGTATTTAGACACAGACGGTGACATGGGTTTCTGGATAGGTGGTGCCAACTTCAACAATGATGGTAATTGGATATGGGAACCAACAAATAATCCATTGACATACGCACCATGGGGTTCTCCACCTCAACAACCAAACAACAGAAACAACAGTGAGCTTTGTTTAGCTTCAATGAAATATTTTGATTATAGCTGGAGTGACGAGTATTGTGATTGGGATGTGCTGCAATACGTATGTGAGAAAAAGTGAGTATGACGTACTTAATTAATGAGTTAATTCTTAGCACAAACTGGGAAGAAAATGCAGATAATTAGACCTGAAACAATGCCTTAAATTTATTGCTCTCGTTAAATTCATAAATTAACAAAAAATATAAATACATTTATAACTTAATTATCAAGCATTAACAAAAAATGATCTAACCTATAATGTACTCTTTAATTAGAGGGGGCATTGGGGTAGGGATGGGGTAGGTTTAGGTATGACATTGGTGAATGAACCAATACCATCTAGAAGTATCATGTATTATTTTATTAGTCCCCTACCGGTTTAACCGGAGGGGACTTTAGGTTTACCCTCCGTCTGTCTGTCTGTCTGTCTGTCAGTCTGTCCGTCCGTCAGTCCGTCCGTCCACAAAACTGGATCCCGCGATAACGCAAAAAGTACTGAAAATATTTTTATGAAACTTGATATATGGATAGATAGCAGTATGGAGATTATGCACGTCTTTTTGTTTCTTCCTATGTTGAAAATTCTGGTTGCTATGGCAACAAATAGTCTGAAAATATGGCAAATTTAACACATAAACTGGATCCAGTGATAACTCAAAAAGTACTGAAAATATTTTTATGAAACTTGAAATATGGGTAGATGGCAGTCTGGAGATTATGCACATCGTTTTCTTTTCTTCCTATGTTGAAAATTCTGGTTGCTATGGCAACAAATAGCCTGAATTTCAAAATTTCTGATTTAAATTTTTCAGCTTTTTCACTATATGTTCTTTATTTCTTAAGGTGTTTACTTCAAACTTTAAATATAAGTTTCTGGTCATCAACCACATCATATGTGACAAGGTTTATAACTCTAGCACAAAAAATATCAGTATTACCTCCCTTGAACTTAGATTTTTTGGGGGAAAAAATGTTGTCTTTTTTAAATAACTTCTTTATTTTCTAATGTATCTACTTCAAACTTCATATATATGTTTCTTATTATCACTCGACATTTTTGAGAAGGTTAAATACTCTAGCAAGACTATTTCCAGAATTATGTCCCCCTTGAACTTAGATTTTTTTCGAGAAACTGGTATTTTCACTTCAACTTCTTCATTCCTTATAGGATTTACTTTAAAATCCCACATCGTAATAATATGACAAGGTTGTATAAACATAATTTCCTTACTAAGCATGGAAACTTAACACATTACTGTGATATAGACAAACTTATTTTATTATGTTTTGTGGTTGATATTTTCAAATATAGACTTCATCCTCAAATTCATTATAAATGGCAATACACAGGAGTGTATGACAATTAAAGAACTTTTTGAGGGACCGGTAGGGGACTACTGTATTGCCCGCAATACTATCAAATGCTTGTATTGTATTAATACTTTCATTCTTGTATTTTAGTTGCTAACTTTTATTATTGTATTTAGTTGTTATCAACGGTTATTTTATTTGTTTCAGAGAGTCTGTCACACCAATAGTTGGTTAGAGAGCAACATATTCTTCTAGAGTGAATCTGGTATATTCTGTATATGGATAAATATGATCTATTACTGTGATCTATGTGAAATCCGCAAAGTTTGTCTTTGAATTCATGTATATTTCAAAATATGTATAGAAATAAATTTCACTTTTTTTACATAAGCTGTTAATATTTTAATGTGTGTACTTACCTGTCATAACTGTACGTGATAACTCACGTATTTACTGGAAAAGTCGAGGGACCATCACTTAATTATAAAGAAAAAAATCACCCCTACGAAGTTTTCAGTATTTATATAAATGCCGCTTTGTCACATTCCAAAACGGGAAAAAACTTTTAATATACTTATATATCTTCCTAAGAACATTTATAGCTACCTACCAACCTAATCAAGCTAAAGGGAAACATCCATTAACAAAGACCTATCGACACACCCACTAGTATATACCATAAATTATTTTCAAACGATAAAACTAACTTAACAAACATCCCTGTTTCTTCGAGAGAAAAACCCTTAACGCACTTAAATGTTTCTTGTCCATCTTCAAGGGAAATATGCATACATGTATATAACATTTTGGTTTGTTTTTATAATAATTTATTTTTACTACTTTGCCTCTATTGAATTATCACAAGCCATAATAGAATATTACACTAATACTTCCCACATTTTCCACTACAAACGTTCTATTGAAGAAATTACTACAAACTAAACAAGAAAAGTTCATATTACTTTAGGGTAGCTAAATGCATGGATAGCTACATAGCAACAAAATTTGCTGCATGAAAACTATGATAATTAGCCCTGAAAAATGCCGCTCCGACGCAAACCATTAAGAACACAAAGCGGCGTGGGATAGTGTAAGAGAAAACAATCACCAAGCTAAATAGAAAACGGGGCAAATTGGTCCCCAATAAGATATTCGCAATGATAATGGAAAGTCGATCGACTGGACATAACACATAAATGTAACAATTTTACAAATGATATTAACAATAAAGAAAGATAAATGATAACAGTAAAATAAAAAACAATTCTTGTTTCCTATACCACGAAACTTTCAAACTGTGGTCGACTCGCTCAGGAAAAGTCAAATAGAATAAAACCCAATGGGAAAAATTGGAAATCTAGCTGTATCCGTTTGCCAGTGTCATACCACAAAATAATCAGGTCATAACCTTGCAAATTCATATGAGCATTAAATATTTATCATAAATACGAGATAGCTATGAAAGTGTGTGTGAATTCCTTGGGAAGTGTTGTCGAAAGAAAGAAGAGGTGGCTCCTGAAACGAACCATAAAGTCATAAAATAAATGACTTCGTATAGTAGAACAAAGTCTTTTCGCATTCTGTAGAGCATTTGCACCGTTCAAACAGATACAGGAGGATAATACTTTTGTTCTTTCTCATCGCTTTTATAAAGCTTATTTGCATAGGAAATTCGGCCGACAACTTTAAGTATTTACCAAATTGGCTATATAATGAAACTGTTAATATATTAAGATTTCGGTGAATATAAAAGTAAACAGGCCTTCCATCTCGAAGAATATCACATTAGCAAGGTCATAGGACTTCCTCATTTACCTCATCATACAATGTATAAGTGTGCATGAATGGGAGAAAACCTATCCCAGGGATTTTTTGGCTTATCTATAGCCGTTATTGGGTCATATTCCCAATTGAAAATAGTATATTATTTTCCCAATCCACAGGAAAAAATTCCCAATTGAAAATTAAATAACAAAAATATTGAATAAAAATTCTAAAATCTTTGCAAATAAGGGCTTCTTCATTGTAATAGTGCTTAAATGTTTGAAGATGCCATCCTAGACAGTAATTGTTTGCATCCATATAATCACTGCAAAATTTCAATCATGCATTTTTTTCCAATTTTTAACAAAACACCGCTGAAATTCCCAATTCCATGCGTATCCATGGGTCGTGTTCCAAAATCCTGGAAAGAAAGATAACTTTTCTCGTTGAAGATGATGGCGTTTAATAATTTATTCGTTAATGCGTGCACCTGTTATACCGGAAGTCTGTCCTTGGTAACTATTCAATATGGCGGACAAAGTCGACGCTTTCAATAAATAAAGTCAGGAAAATTAGTTTATACAGAATATCTTGTTAGTGACCAAAAAACAAGAACTTTAAACTGACATTTACTAAAATGTCGGCCTCAACTAAATCAATGTCGAATGTCAAAGAAGCAAGGGAACTTTACGATCTCAAAGAACGTGCAGCTAAATTTTACGATGAAAATGGAGTTCCGCAAAAGATGGAAGAAATTCTCAATTCCATGTTCTATGAAAATCCTGCAGACGTTTATGGTCATTTGGTATGTAGGCCTAACTAAATCAAGGAGTTTGTTTATTTCTGATTATGTAGACTGACCTTAGACGTTTGAGTTAAGTGCAGTGAGATATCTATAGCTTAAGCCAAGTTAAGGACTTCAGTGTACTTGTTTATATAGTATGACGTGAATGCTGAAGACAGACCCGTAGGAAAAGTCCACCAATAATCGTGCCAGGAATCTAACATCTTCTTCTTCTGTCCCATTCGTTTTTAAATATTAAAAAAGTTTTGATAGCAGGGCTCTCGATTGACACGGGGATCCGGGTTTTGACTCGTGAAAATCGGGAAATGCACAAATTTGACACGTGTTAAAATCTGCTCAAGAGTCAATTTGCCACATGGGATTTTCAGCTATGCAATAATAATTACCTTTAATCCACCCCTAATTACCTATCAAATCCTACATCTGTCAAATCTCACTCATTAAAAATGCCAACAGGCAATATAAGCCGTGTATAAAATGCTTTACACACGGCAATTGTTTATACCCTGTGCACTGAAGCGCGACAATTCAGTGGCTGCAATTTGACAGTGCTAAAAATAGCTCTACACAACTGATAAGAATTACATACTTGAGGTGTCAATTATTGATTGCTTTTAAAAGGTTTATAATACGTCTTTGATTTACTTGGAGTACCGGTGCATTTGTTATTCTTTTTCCATTAAATATTCCAAGATACATTTTGGTATTTAAAATTAATATGATTATAGCATACCAGTAAAGATAATTCTTTTTATATATTTTATACATTTAATCAGAAAAGCTGCTGCTTATTTTATTCTTTCACAGCAATTCATTTTTTGGTTTTATTTGTTTTTTTTAGGTGGAGCAGGGGTGGGGGGGGGGAGGTATAGACATTTATAATTATGGGTTTTTTCTGTCAATTTAGACTTTGGAATCTCCAAAAATGACCTCCAAAAATTTTTTAAAT